GAGTCATTCCTCCCCGGAACGCTCGTTCAATATTCATACTTTCATTTCATTTCACATATTGTACATCATTCACTATTCATCATTCCATAATCAATTTCATCATTCATAGGGAAACAAAAAAAAAACGAACGTTCTGTCACCAATAAGACAGAGGACGAACGCTGTGAGCAAGAAAAAAAGACGCTCGTTCGAATCACAGTACGAACGGCAGAATTTCAACGACGTACGGGAATAGCTTCACAATATACTGTTCATTGGACGAACGTTTTTTTTACCTTGAGAATCAGTTGAATGAACGGACGCTCGTGAATTTTAAATCAATAACCGAACGTGGCAAATCTGAAGTTGGACGTACGCTATTTCAATAAAACCGAACACCATTAGAGCGAGCGCTCAGTATAAGACCGAGCTCGATTTTGGACGAGCGCTCAGTATAAAACCGAACACCCTACTTGGACGAACGCTCACTATAGAACCGAGCACCCTTAAGGACGAACGCTCAGCTTAAACAGAGCACATTAGGACGAACGCTCAATTAAAAACCAAACACCACTTGGACGAACGCTCAATTCGGAGCACTATTTGAACGAATGCTAAATTCAAAACAGAGCTTTGGACGAACGCTCAGTGTGAGACCGAACGTTAATAGTCTTAAAAGAATAGACTTTGACAACCATACTAAGGGATTTTCGAAGTATTTACGAATGGTAAAGTATAATATTGCATATAAATGTAAAGGAATGTGATTTATCAAAGAATACCGAACACCATAGTAATTAACCGAACGCTCAAACAAAGCATTAGAACATGAGGACGCTCGTCCTCAACAGGGTTCCATCCAAATGACCGAATCCCATTTCTTGACTGTTAATAGGGAGGCCGAACGGTCAAAGACCGTTCAGCAGGAAAATTCATTATTACGGGAAAACTCTTATTCAATCCATTTATATTCCAGCTCATTTTCAACATGCAAATCTCATAATTCCATTCGCTCATACCAAAGCCATCCCATTCATATATCTCATACATCATATGTAACTCTGTCATATTTCATTTCCATTCAATAAACAACGAACGTCCATGCAAATCAATCACAGTAACATCATGCATCATTTCCATACAATGGAATAACGAACGTTCACACACATACATCAAACCAGTTAAATTAAATAAGCTTCCCCTTACATGGAAATGACGAACGTTCACAGACGTAGAGACACAATTCTTCAACCACAGATTCTCCTACTATTAATGCTCGTTATTCCAACAGCTTCACTAGCCGAACGCTCTTCTCTGGAAGCCCTGGATGTCGTGCGTCCTTCCACACTGCCGGAACCCAGAATTGGAGGGGATGAAACGGTGGTGTGTCTTAGAGAGAGAGTGCAGAGAATGTAGAGAGAAGGAGGAGTAAGAATTTCCAGAAATGAAAAATGGTGGAGCGTGTGGAGTGTGGAGAATATTTCAGAATTCTCAGATCTGCTTTCCACCTCACCAGCGCACTTCTCCACTCAGCCAACGCACATTCCCACTCAACCACACTGGACGCACGTTCTGCACTCCAGATTCCCGACAGTCAATGCTGGACGTCCCTTCAGCGGTCGCTACGTGGTTTCCACTTCTGGTTCCTGACTCAGCTCCACGTGCAACAGCTGGCGCTCGTTAGTGGGTGTCGGGCGCTGCTGTCGTCCAAGTGCGTCGCTGAGGTGGCGTTAGCCACGACAAACAGTGGAAGGAGCAGCCTTACGCACCTGCAGCAGCGCGATGAATCGAACATCTACCACACAGATTTGCGTCTCACAACACCTCCATTACAGATCTTGCGTTTGTGATAGATAGTGATATCACTTTCACGAGTAAAGAATGGGTGACAAGAAGAAAAAGGCTCAGATGTTTGTGAAACTAGTGTCTGCTGCCGGCACTGGATTTTTCTATGAAAAGAGAAAGCCGAGACAGTTCACAGAGAAGCTTGAGTTTCGAAAATTTGATCCTAGGGTTAATCGTCATGTTCTCTTTACAGAGGCTAAGATGAAGTGATTTGGTACCTTGTATGGCTTCATTTCCCTTTAACTGGATCATTCTTATACTTCTCTCAAAGGGCTTTCTATGTTTTTGTTGATTTACCTTGATTTATGTAGTTCTGGGTTAGATTTGTTCGGTTTAGATTAGGAAATTACCTAAATAAGAGAGGACTGTGGCAGCTTTGTGTTAGAGTTTTGTAATGATTGTTTCAGAGAGGACAGTTTATAATTAACTGTCCAGTTGCCTTTTCATTGTATAAATTCTAAACCTCTGTTCTTGTAAATGTGACTTTGAAGAAATCAGACTGAATAATATTGTTTCTGTGCGTTTTACTCTCTCTTTCTCTGTTCATCTCCTTCAGCGTTCGGCTAGGGACGTTCGTTCTCCAGTCGCACATGTTACTCATACCGTTCGGTCATCCACGCTGCAGTACTGTGTGTTCGTAGCGTTCGTCTAGGGACGTTCGTTCTCCAGTCGCACATGTTACTCATACCGTTCGGTCATCCACGCTGCAGTACTGTGTGTTCGTAGCGTTCGTCTAGGGACGTTCGTTCTCCAGTCGCACATGTTACTCATACCGTTCGGTCATCCACGCTGCAGTACTGTGTGTTCGTAGCGTTCGTCTAGGGACGTTCGTTCTCCAGTCGCACATGTTACTCATACCGTTCGGTCATCCACGCTGCAGTACTGTGTGTTCGTAGCGTTCGTCTAGGGACGTTCGTTCTCCAGTCGCACATGTTACTCATACCGTTCGGTCATCCACGCTGCAGTACTGTGTGTTCGTAGCGTTCGTCTAGGGACGTTCGTTCTCCAGTCGCACATGTTACTCATACCGTTCGGTCATCCACGCTGCAGTACTGTGTGTTCGTAGCGTTCGTCTAGGGACGTTCGTTCTCCAGTCGCACATGTTACTCATACCGTTCGGTCATCCACGCTGCAGTACTGTGTGTTCGTAGCGTTCGTCTAGGGACGTTCGTTCTCCAGTCGCA